CTCATCAGTGGCCAGTTACATGGATTAAATCATTCAAAGCCATGATTGTTCTGGCATAAAAAGATCTTCCTCTATAGGTATACCAAATACCAATATAATAGAAAACACTTCAATTTTACTAAGTAGTATCATGAAGCAGACGGTGGTAACAAATGAAACTAAAATCTGAAATTTCAACCATTTTCTTTCGAAGGCTGTTTCTCGTATTAATATAGTTTGGGCAACCATAGGCAGCCCAAAATTCCATGTTTTTTTACCTTAAATAAATCAATTTTATGCATAATATTCCTTTCATAGCTGGCGGAATTGATAATTTGTCGCGCGATAATCAGTCAATCTCGCGTGACGTTTGTGTAGTCATATCAGTTTAATATATTCTCAAGGTAGGCAACTCGGCGAACAAAATATAAACAAATCATCGGCCGTTAACGCAAGCACTTTAAAAAACCTACAAATATCTTGTAAACAAATAGAATAATAAAACAAAAACTACAGCATATTAAACACGGATAATGTAACTACATTCTTACAAATTTTCCCGTTTCAAATCCTTTCCGAAGCATGTGAAAATTAAAAAGCGAGAGTTTTGGGGGCTTTTTTTGCGTTTTGGGGATTTTTTTTCAAAACCCATCCAGGGGTCACTCATCCAGCCAGTTCGTTATCTTTTTGAATTTTAAGTCTTCGCCTATTGGCTAAAAGTTTAGCAAAAATGATGTCCTTTCGTCTTGTAAAAAGGAGAAACCGGGGGAGGGGCAAGACATTGGTTTTTGAGTATTTTTGCAAATTATTTATCTCAAAGCAAAAATACAAAATTGGAAAAATACGACGTACGCGGTGTTTATTTTTTCCGTATTTGCAAGTTTTTCCTTCATTACATTTCAAACGTAATTTAAAAGGTAAGTAAGATTAGAATACTATTTGTTTAGCTTTATATTAAAGTGATTTTTTCCTATATACCTACCGAAAAAATTCAAAAACGATTCACACGACGTGAAGCTTTATATTTGTTTTTATTTTTTATTGAAAAACAAGAATAAATCCTTGTGTAAAGTTCACAGAAAAAGCAATATGTAGTTCTTTGTGCTCAAAAAGCTTTATATATTTACGGTAAGGTCTTGCTTTGGTAATTTATAGTATTAAAGAATATTTAAACTTTTACAAGATACAGTATGCATTGTTTATAAAAACAGGAATATAAAAAATCGCTATTTGCAAATATAAAACACTGCGTAAAATTGACAAGGAGCAGTTATTATTATTATTATTATTATTACAATATTGCCTGCTCCCAAAAGGGCTTTTCAGCAGGTAATTACAAATAATTTATATACTACAAACAATATATATATACACCCAGAAACATACGTACATACATACAAACACAAATTAAAAATTTTATAATTATTAGTAATGTCACTTTAAAAATGATTAACTACTTGCTAATAAAATCCATACAGTAAAAACGTTTATATGCTAATTTAAACAAGTCCAAATTGTCTAAAACTATTAACTACTTTCTAAAAATCCATGCAATAAATGACGTTTATATTCTATTTTAAACCGGTCCAAAGTGCCAATGTCTTTAATATGATTTGGGACCTCATTCCAAATAGACACTGCGCGATAATGAAACGTTCGCTGTCCAGAAGCCGAATTATACAGTGGAATGTCTAACTTATCCTTATTTCTGGTGTTAACACTGTGGATCTTTAATCTCATTTCATATATAGTTTCGTGTATGCATTCAAGAAATGTCCAAAATAAAAACAATAAAAGCTAAACAAATAGTATTCTAATCCACAGGGAGCCCAAGCGTTGATCTATGTTAGTGTTGTATGTTTTTCAGTTTATTTATTTTAGCAATCTCGTTCCCAGAGTATGCCTGTTCGCGGGTTAGGTAGTGGCATGACTCTGGGGAAATTGAATCGAAATCGTTATTTGATTGGCTGCCGTGATCATCAATGCTGCCGACACAATTAATGCGTGTTTTTTGCGAGAATTACGTGTGGACATACGCGAAGAGAGAATTATCAATGTTTATCATATTCGGAATGCGAAATCAAACAATATATATCGAAGGATATAATATTAATCGTATGAAAAAGTATTGGGACGTTGGGTATATACTTACAAAATTGCATGGTATTTATGAATGACTTTTTATCGATCTACAGTATTATTGTACGTATGTGGAAACGACGCCGTATAAACAAGTTTCGTATTTAATATTCCATGATAACCATGAAAGAATTGGCTAAATGAAATCATCGCACACGTTGTCGTTGTTTTGGTTAAATTGACATATTGTTGCCAGGACTTTGGAGTGACAGCTTTTGCTTGTGTTAAAAACTTGAAGCTTTAAACAATACAGTAGTAGCCCGTGCACTTTGTGCTTTTGTAAAAGGAGTTATCTACATAAATTTATTAAAGATGCCAGGTGTTTTTGTCGAGATTTTTGTAGCATCTGTATAAATTATAGAATAATTGATTTAAGAAGTTCCTCAGGTTGTAAAACATTTGGTTGTAGACTTGCTTTGTAAATGATTGCCACTTGACAGCATGATGGGCCGATTCCATTTAATATCCGTACATCCCCTGTCGAGGATACATGTTTTTCATGGTTATACCCCTGAAGAATTCCAAACTCAAAACCTTTTACCCCTGAAGAATTCCAAAATTCCAAGCTCAAAACCCTTTACCCCTGAAGAATTCCAAGCTCAAAACACTTTACCCCTGAATAATTCCAAGCTCAAAACCCTTTAACCCTGAAGAATTCCAGGGATCCTCGACAG